GGAGACTCCCCACCCGCCCCCACCACCGCTCTCTGTATCCGTTTTTGTTCCTCTTAGTCCGGCCAGTGCTCCATTGAAATACCCTATAACATTCGCTCACTTGCAGGTGTTGACATATCCAGGCTCCAGCTGTCTTAGACGACAGGTAACAACTCACTTGAGCGACAGTACAAGTTCAAGTTCTATGGAATAAAGCATTCCGGTAAAGCTGAAATGCAGAAGAATACGGGGAACAAGAAAACGGAAGTCACAATGTTAGAGCATAGTGATTTCCGTTTCATTTTTCTCCGCACTCTTCTGCATTTCAGCTTTACCGGAATGCTTTATAGCCATCCATGGCTTTGACTTCATAACCCCAACCCGCCCCAACCACATCATATATTTGCGGGAGTAGTTTAAACCACAGGCTCTCGTAAAAGTATCAGTTTCCCACAGAGTGAAGCACAAATTTTAGGTAGTCATAATTCGGTAACTTGACCCACTGACATCACACTGACATCACGGTGTTCAGTACAGAAAGTTAAGTTAAAGGTTGATTAGAAACGGTAACATTAGTGAGCGTCGACGCCGAAGTCGGACTCTTTTTGTTTTGTCTGAGCGACAGCGGACGGGTCGAAGGTGGGGGGGGGGGAGGTTATTTACAATCCACTATACCACTAAGAAATACCTAAACACCTTGATTTCTTCGAGAAAACGTTCTGCCTCGTGAATTTTAATTATATTTTAGACCTTTGGTTATCCCTCCCAAGTAACAGAGATTCGTCTGAAAGACGTCAAGTTAAAGTAAACTGACGTTACTACTAAGTCACGTTGACGTGTTTTACATTGCGATGTTTCACGTAATTTTGACGTCAAATTGACGTAATATTAACTCTCTAGAGAGCTGTAGCTACAGTCACGTTTATGTCACTTATGACCTAAAAGTGTCAATATTACGTCACTTTGACGTGAAAATTTCGTCAAATATCGCGATTTAACACACGTCAACGTGACGAAATGGCAGTGACGTCAGTATACTTTAACTTGACGTGTTTAGACGGGTGGGCATTCTCAGAAAACGTGCTTATTTTATCGTTAAGGGGCATTTCGTGCGACATTTGGCAACATGACGGTTCTAGGGTCTCAAGACCCCGCTGAATCCGAATCCGGATGTTGCCAAGCCGAATTTTGCCTCCTAAGGTCATAAATCCAAGATGGCGGCCAAAACAAGGGCTTAAATGACGATTTTTCGAAAGTGTATCGATTTTATCCGGGGACGTGTCGTTTCCTACGTTTTTGGGGTCGCTGAACACGAATATAAGCACCGGAAGTCGATTCGGTTACCGGAAGTACCGTAATTCAAGATGGCGGCCAGCTGGGGCCTAAATACGAAACCTATGGAAGTTTGTGCATTGGCAAGTGCGGGGTATCGGCGCATACGTTATTCGTGTCAACTAATCCGAAAATGAGCACCATAAATCGATCCGGCAACCGGAAGTGCCGAAATCCAAGATGGCTGCCAGTTAGGGCCTAAATACTGTGCTCGAAAAAGTTGCGGCTTTACGGCGTGCGGGGTATGGCCACACATGTTTACGCGGTCGCTGAACACGAATATGGGTACAGAATGGTGATTAAAAACGTGTCAACACAGGTTCAATGGAATATAATGCTGAAAACAACAAAAAGTAGGGAGCAGAAGAAGTCACTCTCATGCAAATAGTTTATACGAAAACCCCATCTGCATTGTCTTGATTGGTGCACTCTCCCCGGCATTTGCACAGCTTAGTACACACTTCCTTTTCTCGTCTACACTTGCAAAGTTTTGTGGCGCAGCCTGATTTGCAGCCACAACTTAACAACTGCGTGCATGACTCAGGTGCCACGGGCAAGGTGGAGTACACTGGAGCGTAGTTTCCGTCAAGAATGCGCCAGCCGTATTGGCATGGGTCGGGGAGCTCAGGCTTGGCCACATGAGCACTCATCCAGACCACACACTGGTAGACTGCCCGGAGGATGTGGAGTCGAGCAGCGTCTGATGTCGCTGGGAGAAGTTCGGGACTGGTGACTTTCCCAAAGAGCATATGACGCGCATCGTCACAAGTTAACTCTTTGGTTTTGTACAGCAGCACCAAAAACTGCTCGCACTGTTTGAGAAAGGACTCGTCCACATCTCCACATGTGATACCATCGAGCAATTTGTAGTTCAGGCGGTACACAGCTAGAGCTCCTCTTTTTGCTATGCCTAAAACATGTGTAGAAAAATGAGTTTCTACTGCAGAAAAAGTAATAATAACAATAAAAGTAAAAGGACACAAACCTGGTATAAATGAGTTTGAATCACAGCCCGTCAACGCATGTTATTTCGTTCACTTTCAGACATTGACGCTGCAACTACATGAATGGGTACATACTTTCTGTCTTTGGCTGTACCAGCCATCATATAGCATTCATTGCATGTCATTCTCTTGAAATAG